ATGCATAGTACTCAGTGAAGGCAGTAGATCTCAAAGATCCACAAACCTGCATTCTGCAAATGACAAAACTATGCAGAGTAAAAAATTAGTGTTATATTTTTTAAATGTTAGCTCTAAGAGACTAAGCATTTTTTAATTTGGTTATTTATTTATTCAGGAGGACAGAGAGACCAGTTGTGACTAACTCAACCTAAAACCAAAACCAAGTAAAGTTGTTGGAAGCAGAATCCAAGTACTTGAGTCACTGCCTGCTCTCTCCCGGTGTGCGTGCTGGCAAAATGACTGTAGACTGGAGCTGAGACTGGAACCCAGGCATTCTGAAATGGGATAAGGCAACTAAGTGACAACTAAGCCACTGTGCCAAACACCGGACCAGAGTAACTTATTTAGAAACTAGAAACAGGATAAACACCATCCTATACGAGAGGACATTTGAATCTCGGCTATTCCATTTCTACTCCAGCTGTCCACTAACGTACATAACAGAAATTATCAGGTAATGAATGGATGAAGAACTTTGGTTCATGCCACGCACATGGAAGACTCGCACTGAGTTCCATGATTTCCATGATTCTGTTTTCAACCTGACATCTGAGGCATCTGAGGAGGGAACCATGTAATAGAAGATCTCTCTCTCTTTCTCTTTGTTTTTTCTCACTCTCTTTCAAGTAGATGAAAAAATATTTTTTTAATGACTGGGATTTTTTTTAAAAAACGAGCACCTCTAAAACATAATTCCCCCTTAGAAATACTGTCCTCTAATCATAATCATTAAAGATATCTAAGATGAACAAAACATATTCCCATTTTATAGTTTACCTAAATCAAAGACTTAGTAAAATTCTATAAAAATTAAAAGACCAAAGGCAGTTAGCCTTTCATGATAAAGACTAGGTGTTATGAAAGAGGTACACAAGCAAATTGAAAAGTAATTAGAGCAGAAAACATTAGGGAAGCCCTAAATCTCATAGTTTAGCCATTTAAAATGTCAATAAGCCTGTTTCCTCTTCTTCACAATATACTCATGATGAGCACTAGCACATGTCAGTTGGCCTACTTTCAGGGTTTGCAAGTGTTTTGGCTGAGCAGACTGGTGCGTGTGCGTGTGTGTGTGTGTGTGCACGTGTGTGTGTTTTACAAGATTTACTTGTTTAACCATTGTCATTAAATTTATTTTTACATCAAAATAAATTACAGCAGATATGCTAGAGAAAGTAATCATAAATTCTGACTTCATATAGCAGAAGAAATCAAATAGTGTTATGTCCAGTTTAGTTTCTGGACATAACACATAACTACACTTAAGTTTTCCAAAAGGATAAAACAGGAAGTTGAAGCTTATGAGAAATACTAACCATTAGTACATAAAAAGCACACTCTTAAAAAATTTGCAAAAAATACATCAAGAAATAGTTAAACTCACAAAACACTCTCAACTTGCTCTGCTCATGCAAGACTCAAAAACATCAGCTAATTACATCAATTTAAAAAGATAGCTACTGTTAGTTTTTGTCTGCATGAATCGCTTTTTTACAAAACTATAAGCATCAGGAGAGCTGCCATTGACATTCCAAAATAAAATTACTTAAATCTTAACTTTAAATAAAAGCCTTTAACATTTTGAGATATGAAACTGAATTTCTTACATAGCAGAACTAAAAATACAACCTTTCAAACACTAGCACTAAAATATATTCTAGAAAAAAATAAAGCAAGTTGCTATACAGTGTCCTGAGATTAGAACCACAAGTATGATCCCTAGATATTTTAGGAAACCATCTCCAGAGAACCCTTTGGTCATGAAATTAACAATCCTGGTTTATAAGAATCCCTTCTAGCGGCACAGGGGGTAAAGCTGCCACCTGCAACATCAGATTCCATATGGTTCCAAGTTCACGTTTCAGCTGCTGAACATCTGATCCAGCTCCCTGCTAATGGGCCAGGGAAAAGCAGCAGAGGATGACACAAGCGATCCTGCAAATTATGAGACACCTGGATGAAGCACTGACGTCTGGCTTCTGCTTGGCTCAACCCTAATCTTGCAGCCACCTGGGAATCAACCAGCAGAAGGAAGAACTCTCTCTGTATCTCCTTCTCTCTATCATTATGCCTTTTACAAATAAGCCAATACATGCTTACATTAATTAAAACATTAGTTACACATTAACTTATGCATAATGATATATTTTACTACAGAACTGACAGACTGAAAACTAAAATTACTACTTTCAAAAATGAGCAAGAGCCCAGTAGCATGGCCTAGCAGCTAAAGTCCTCGCCTTGAACGCACCGGGATCCCATATGGATGCCAGTTCTAATCCTGGCAGCTCCACTTCCCATCCAGCTTCCTGCTTGTGGCCTGGGAAAGTAGTCGAGGATGGCCCAAGGCCTTGGGACCCTGCACCCGTGTGGGATACCCAGAAGAAGTTCCTGGATTCTGGCTTCGGATCGGCATAGCATCGGCTGTTGCACTCACTTGGAGAGTGAATCATCGGACAGAAGATCTTCCTCTCTGTCTCTCCTCCTCTCTGTACATCTGACTTTCAAATAAATAAATACATATTTTTTAAAAATGAGCAAGAATTTATTTCCAATTAAGTTTTAAAAGGACAGACTTGAGGGAGGATTAGTAAGTTTTTATCCAATACAAAAAAAAATCATTTGAATGGTCACTGTTTTCTAAGGCACTGTACTGAAAATATCCAAAACAGATCCAAATTCATTAATAAATAATCAGAAACAGTGTTTCAGCCTAGCAGTTAGGACCCAGGCTTCCCATATTGGAGTAACTCAGGTAGAAACTCAGCTCCTGTTCCCAGTATCAGCAACAACTGGTATCTCAAGTAATTGGTTCTCTGCCACCCTTGTGTATTAGACTGAATTCCCACCTCACAGTTTAAACCAGACCAGTGCAGCTGCTGTGGTCATCTGAGAATCAACCAGCAAATGAGAGATCTTTACTTCCATTCTTCTCTCTCTTTCTCTTTCTCTCTCTCTCCTTCACCTTTTTCCTCTCTCCTTTTCCTTCTCTCTCCCTCACTCCTTGTCTTTTAAATATTTTTAACATATACAAATGAATGAATAAAGTAATAGTCCTTTAGTTTTCACTTCTGTTTATATATTTTTCACAGCAAAAACTTCATAAAGAGAACTCACTCTGCTGCCAACTACTAACTTTCAATAGATAATGCCATGAAGCAACATTTAACAAAGTCTTATTAACTGTTTGTAGTACACACATATTTGTGATGTACTAAAGATGTGAAAATATGCAACAAAGCTAACAAGCAAGAGACAGGTGAGCAATCAGACACCCTAAGTCTCGTGGGAGCATAAAACACAGCAGGAGATAAGGAGCAAGGAAGGATTAGGTTGATATGACTGTTTAAAAAGAAATATAAAGGCCCTGAAATGAAGAGCATAGTTTATTTAAGGAAATGGAAGAAATTCAGTCCAACAATAAAGGAATGCTGTTTGGGCAACTAGTGTGGCAGATAAAAAGTTAAAAAATAGCAGAAGATGTTGGGGAAAATACAGTGAAGAGATCAGCTCACTGACCCAGTGAGCCGTGTATGCAAAAGCTCTGCTGGATTTACTTATTAATACAAATAGCTTGAAAATTCCATTGTACTTTGTAAAGGCATAAATTATCACCAGGAACAAAACTTATACCTGTATTTCTAATCTTCATGTTTTCATTTAATTTTCCTGTCTTATTGTAATGGCAAGGAACTACAATAAATAGCAGTGGTTACAGAGGCCAACTAAAAAGCTGGGCAGGAAGGACTGAGAGAGCCACAGAGCAGAAATCTACACATGCCAGGCATATGTACAGCAAGCAAAAGATTTCCTGATGTCTCCAGTACACAGTCAACATCTTTATTCCATCATTTCATTCATTCACAACTCCCAAAATTACTATGAACAACATAATCCTAAATCACAGTAGGCATCATTCCCATCAATTCAAAGAACTTAGAATTAGCTGCTGTAAGAAGTCTCGTAAGTAAGATTTTACACTTTAGGATAATACCTCCTTTGTATTTAAAGAGATTATAAAGTATCAAAACAAAATTAGTACAACTGATTTTGGTGTACATGCAGAAAGTACATGAACAAAAGAAAGTGAAAACATACAACTGTTAGAAAGCTTAAAGACTTAATAAACCAAGAGTTATTTAGTCTTCAAAATAGCAGATATAATCTGATATTTGATTTTCACCAAATACATAGCATATATGCTAAAGATAACATTAAAAAGTTGTGCTTTAACAAAATGACAGACAGTCCCCTACATGGTTGGGAGACAATCCAGCAGCAGCATGATGAACTTAGGAAAATTAACAAAAGACGCCCATTGTGAGACAAGAGAGGAGAATAGAAGGGGAGGGTACTTGGTACAGTGGGGAGGGAGACCCCAGCACCAACTAAACCGAATCAAAAAACAATCTTAAAAAAAAAAGTGTGCTATTAGAGCACAATAGAAAGGGGAGAGATCTGAAATTCAACTGTGATACAGCTGGGCAGAGCCAACAGCAGAGATAATGGTGAAAAGCAACTTCCCAAAGCAATAGGTTTTACTGAGAAGAAGGGCAAAGGCATGAGAACAGGAGAGACTTAAGGAATCCCCATAGAATAAAACTAAACCCGAGAACTAACAAAGGCAGTACAGAAAGCAGTGAAGGGATCTGAGAAGAATGATGCCAGGAAAGCCAACAGAGAAGAGGGCTTCAAGAAAGACAGCAAAGGCAGAGGCTACATTGAGATCAAAGGGGGTGGAGATAAATCAAAACCACAGTAAAAGTGAATAGCCATATTGAATTGGTTAAGATTACCTATTTCCATCTCAACTGACAGAACTAAGAGTTTATCTAGGCAGGGAGAGGGGGATGGACACTTAGAGAAAAACAGACTTCAGTTATCATTCTTGCTGTCTTTAGTCCAAGACCAACAAAACAGAAATGATCTGAATGATAGTTTTTCTTCAGGGCTACACTCACCACACTGTGGGGCTGGCAAAATTCTTGCTGTTCGAACTGGGCCATGCCTAACGGAGAAGAGCTCTTGTGCTTCTCCACTGATCTGCATGAAAACAAAAAAAAGTCAGTCATAAAAATGTAGGTCACAACACAGAAGCATGGAAACAAATCTTCTAAACTGTATCATAACTTCTTAAAATTACATATGTAATATACTCACTTATGCCTAATCATTTATACTAAATATATTTACAACACATTATCACAACTACTTTCAGAAAACTGTCAGAATACATATTTGATATGAAAAAAGAAAGTCTGAAAAAGTCTATTCTGGAAATCTATCATTCTGCTTAAACAATAAGAAACGTACATAGCTCTTAAAAGACTTCCTTTCATTTCAGAGGAAAACATCTTCTGACAAGTTCAACTAAAATAGTGTAACAGCCTTCACCTGTTATCAGTAGCAGTTATGGCTCTGAAACTATTAACTTTGAATAAATCATTTAGCTTTTATAAGCCCACATTCTTGTATAATTATAAAATGAGAAGATAAAACTGTTAGAAAAAAAGCACATTTTAATAATTTCAACATTCTGTGAAGTTAAAATTATATAATACCATCTTTCACTGTGATTTATATTACAGAGATTATCACTGCATGAACTAGAATGTCCATTCATTATGAGTCATATCAGTTTTCTAGAAATGCAGAGTATGCTGATACATGGAAATGTGAAAACAACTACTTTTCAACTACTGCATGAAGTACTGAGCAAACCGAATTAGAATTAGTTATGAATGACTTACTAGACTTACTCCCAAATGGTCACAGAGTTTTGAGTACATTTACATATAATTGCCTAACAACTGATGGAATATGTAAGAGAAATTAGGAAGCATTATAAAGCTAGTTCTAAATAACCAGGAATTTAAAAAAGATGGAGTCAAAACAAAAATTCAAAAATGAATTTTGTGATGGTATTTTCACATCATACCTGAAAAAGCAGTTTAAAACATCCAAAAATATGCACATTATAAGATGAAAAGCCTTATAGGGCTGCAGGACAGTAGCCTAGTAGCTAAAGTCCTCGCCTTGTATACCCCGGGAGCCCATATGAGCGACAGTTTGTAGCCCAGCTACTCCACTTCGCATCCTGCTCCTTAACTGTAGCCTGGAAAAGCAGCAGAGGATGGCACATGCAGGAGACCCGGAAGAAGCTCCTGGCTCGAGACTTCAGATCAGCTCAGCTCTGGCCACTGTGCCTACCTGGGAAGTGAACCAGCAATGGAAGATCTTTCTCTGTCCCTCCTTGTCTCTGTGAATCTCACTTTCCAATAAAAATAAACAAATCTTGAAAGAAAAGAAGGAAGGAAGGAAAGAAGGGAGTGAGGGAGGAAAGAGGGAAGAAAGAAGGGAGGGAGGAACAGTTGGAGGGAGGGACGGAGAAAGAAAAGTCCTATAAATGTTCCAATATTAAACTATGCAACTACAGAACTGCCTTATGGAGTAACTTTTTGTTTTTTTAGATTTTCAGCTTATTTACCTGAATTTTTAAAAATTGAAATTTAAAAAGGTTTGTTGCTTATGATACTTACAACAAAGCTACTGTCTATAGCAGCAAATTCTTTTGCAGCACTTGTGATGCACAAAATGTAAGCACTGCTAGTACTAACCATACAGCAACAGCACCACCTATCACCAGTGACTTATAAACACTACAAACTCAGTACAGCAAGCCATGAAAATGTATCTGCTCTACAAATTCCTCTGGGAGTTTTAATTTTCAAAATGAAAGCCACAGGCATCACATACTACAGCAGGGAAGTCTACATTTAACTATTTAAAGGAAAGAATTTACAATTTAGAAGAAACCATAGACAGTTCAACTACCCAACCAAGGCAATAATCACACATTCTCTGAATTTTACAACCTCTTTCATATTAAGCACATAGATAATAAAAGGTAAAAACTACTATAAATTAATTATATGCCAGATACATCAATAACCACTTCTTCCGACCTAACTCTTCAAACAAAAAGAACAAACACCAGGTCATTTTCATTTGAAATGAATTATTTGTTGGATGATAGACAAATAATAATCTTCTGTAATATACAGCATATTAGTAAAATATGAAAAACAAGTTATGAAGTAATACTATATAACACTGTCAGGATAATGGAAAACATTTCTCACTTATAAAGTTTATACCTACAGTAAATTACAGAATCTTATCACAAAATCTACTGCTCTATACTATTATTTCCATCAAGTTTTTAAATAAGACCCTAATGCTTAAAAAAAAAAAGTATAACCATACCGAAGCTCAATTATACTAAACAGTAAAGAATTTATCAAATCCACCTTGGCACACTCAAAATGATAAAACTTTATCATTGCATTTAATGCACAAGAGCTTTTACACTGAAAAACATACCAAACTTAGAACAAACCATGCCTGCCAGAAAAACCTAAATGCCCTGTTCTACACTTCTATTCTAAATCTTTCCTCCCATGCAAATCACCAAGTAAGAAATAAAAATGAGACTGAAAGAGGCATCCCATATTCACTACCTATACATGGTTTCTCACGTCCCAATTAAGATCCTAGAACTTTAACTGTAACATATTCCAATACAGAAGACATAAAACACTGCTACATTTATATCTATTTGTGAATACACTAAAACCACAAGTGTACTAATCACTGAAATTAGGAGCATAATTTTAATCCATCCTTTGTGAGTCACAATGTCAATCTTCCAGAGAAGAGAACTCTTCAAAGAGAACATAGTAATTCTTTTTGGGTTTTTTTCTTTTTCATTTTTTAATTATATTTTTTACAATCTTTACATAGTTAATTAGGGTAAAAAGGTTCAAGGGCTACAGGAAAGCGGGTAAGACTATTATTTCCACATTGTTTTCTTCATGTATCTGAGGTACAGAGAGATTTTAAGGGAGAAGCCCCACCCAGTCTCCCACCCACCCCAGGTCCCAGATGTGCGGCATGTTCCGAGGGTCTTGCTCAAGTGGTTTCAATAGTTCAACAGATATGAATTGCTGCCAATCTCACCATTCTAAGCACAATGAGGTCGTTGAAGAACCCACTGATTGACATTGTCCATCTCAGAGTCTCCGTTTGCCAAGTTTTGCACTGTCAACATATGGCTGGGGTAGTTGATTGATTTGTTCTGTCCTCTGTCTTTTCATGGTTAGGGACCTGAGTCTGGCAGTTCGATTGTGATATCCCCAAAGAAACTTTGTCTGAGGTGATCCCAGATCAGATTCTTGTATGTATTAGCAAGTACAGGGCCCGGCACAGTCCATCACCCTGATCAGCTGGTAGTTGCAATTGCTGGGTCAGTTGTTTCCAGCCCTGTCTTCCACTGGAACCAATGGGTGTTGCAGTCCATCCTGGTTCTGCCCAGAGACATACTAATTCTTTTTCTTTTTTAAAGATTTATTTATTTTTTATTGGAAAGGCGGATATACAGAGGAGGAGAGACAGAGAGGAGGATCTTCCATCCGATGATTCACTCCCCAAGTGACCACAACAGCCAGTGCTGCGCTGATCCAAAGCCAGGAGCCAGGAACCTCTTCCTGGTCCCCCACACGGGTGCAGGGTCCCAAGGCCATGGGCCGTCCTCAACTGCCTTCCCAGGCCACAAGCAGGGAGCTGGATGGGAAGTGGAGCTGCAGGGATTAGGGCCCGGCGGCGTAGCTTAGCAGCTAAAGTCCTCACCTTGAATGCGCCAGGATCCCATATGGGAGACATACTAATTCTAAACCAGAATTTCATTTCAGAGGAACAAGGTGCTAACCAAGCACACACAGAAAGGTTGCAAACGCGCATTTCAGAAGCCCACACAGAAGTCAGACACACCCTCACAGACTGTACTTCAGCTGCCACCCAGAACTGCCTCTGCTCATTTCACACAACATGTGCACAGGTAATTTTGCTTTCAAATATATGAGTGCCTAGAAGCTGAATTTCTAAAAGGCTTCTGAAAAAATGTCATGTCCAGGCTTATTTAAAAAGTGCTGAAAATGGCAGCGTGTCAGAACTGAGGATTTCACAAATCTTGAAAATAATTACATGAGGCCATAAGCTCACTTTTATATTAATAATCACAATAAACACAAGATTAAAAATACAAGGAAGGAGTGTACCACAGTGTTCCAGCTCCCTGGCAACTGCAAGCAGGGTGGAAACCTCTCCAAGAGTCCCTCATGGTCTCCGCTTTGTTCTTACTGGCATTTTAATTTCTGATGACAGACTTTTGTTGTTTGGGGCATAAACCGGACGTACCAGTTTGGAGGCACAATAAGGAGAACAAAGAATGATTTGTTCACACTGTAGGAAAAAAACTTTTTTCCAACCATAGAAAATAGCTTTCGCATGGTGCAAATATGCAAATTACATACCAAACCAAAAAAAAAAAAAAAAAAAGGATGGGGGAGAACAAGTTTAGAATCTCACAACTCAATCTAAGGCTGAAGGAAATTGCACCAGTCAAGGCTGTAAATAACACTCAGCAAAGGCTAGCAAAGTTCTTGGAGAGCTCTGCAGGTGCTTTTCAAGTCCTCACAACCAAACCCTAAAACCCTGTCAAAGGCTATTAGATAACAAATGAGAAGATTCAATCAAATATTAAAGAATATTAAAACAGTCCAAATGTCACAGAATTCTAACGTGAGATTTCAATTTTCAAACGGTTCTGTTAACAGAAGAGACATCAAAGAAAGAACTTTACATATAAGCAGATGGTCTCGCTGTGTCCCTTCCAAGTCCTAATCCCAGTTCTCAACAAACATAACCACAATTCTTACTTCTATTGCTATCCATGGGATCACATAGTTTATAATCTTAGGAACACATCTTTCACACATTCTATGCTAATGAAATTAATTCACTTGTTGCATATAATTCAAAGTTTTTCCTGCTGATATACAAACTTCCATGATATTAAAAAAAAAAAACTACAACTTTTTAAATCTTGCAACTGGTAGCCCATTTAAATGCCTCTCTTTTTTGACTCTGTGGATGACAAGAAAAAAATAGGAGAATTTGTAATGAGAAAGAAATTTCAGTGAGTT